ATAATTATTTTCAAATGGAAGACAATTCCAAAAGACTTGTTTTCTAATAAATGAAACAGAAAATGGTTAGATGAATGCAAATGAACTGATCATGTGCTTGTAGTGGATTTAAGGGAAAAAAAGTTATTTTTTTGTTAGCTGTTATTTCTTCTAGAATGATAAAAATTCTACAGTGTCTGACATTTCAGTAAATAAAATATTTGAAGACAAAGTGCATCAACATTGGAAATATTGGATGACCAATAGTTATCATACACATGTATGAAGACTGAAAAGATGAGAAAAGTTAGAAGTACAGAAGTTCCTAAGTGGATGCTACTCATGATGTGAGTATAAAGTGGCAGAATTTAGCTATTGCAAGTACAAAATTACTATTTATTCTGACAAGGAAAATGACAACAAATTGGATAATGATGAAATGCAAAGGTGACGTCAAGATATTATGGAACTTTTTCATTCAGATCATCAGGAACCTAAAAGATTTCAGTTACAATATGAAACTATTCACAATATTAAAATTAGTGTGTACTTCCTCTGAATATAATACAGTATATACATATTTGTTTAAAAATAAATTTTTTGTATCTTGTTACAGTGTCTTACTTATTGGGCTACAATTTGAAAAAATTCTAGACCTATAAATTCCCACTGTTGTCCACCCACCTGTCATTTCTTAATCTTCAGAACAGAGTTAGATAGGAAAAAGACGAGACCAGTTATAGAAAGCTTAGGGAGAGGAGGCCCTGATTAACTATATATGAACTTCCAATGCAAACCGAAAGTCACGTTATTTTAATTCAGAAATTTTTCCCTGAAAGATGTTAGATAGATGACTGGCATAACTCTATTGTTAAAGGAAAATTATGATCTACAGGGGCAAGCCACTACTAATTTGAGATGGCAAGCATATATTTTAAATTAAATAAGTTAAAAATATGATTAAAAATTGCATCCCAGCATTGTGACAATGTCACAATAAATAATTGCTAGTTTCTTTCTAATTAGTTTTATAGTCTCTCCAATTAAACTTTTTTATCTATTGATACTGATAACATTTGAAAATATATATTGATACTAACTTTGACACTTATATAGTTTAGAAAGCTCTATCTCAACCATTCTTTTTTTTTCAATCACTACTTGTATAATTACATATACAATAAACTGTTAATGGCAGTGTAACTGGGGGGAGGGATAGAATGAGAGTACTTTCTAAACTGCATACTGTTAAATGTTATGTTTTCAAAATCATTTCAGAGAGGTAATGTAAAGGTTTTATTATGGTTCCAGAAACTTTTTAAACTTATAACCATCTGCATAAAAATATAATATAGAATACAGTTAAGAAAAATTTCTAGCTAAACTTTTACAGATATTGAATAATTAATTAGATACCCATCATTTTAAAGATGAGTATTTAAATATCAAACTTACAATATCTGCTGAATATAAAACAAACTGGTAAGTGCATAATTTAAAAAAAAAAAAAAACAATAAGAACATACATTTTCAAATTCTATGTAAGTAATATAAAGCATATATACTAATAATAGTCTTTTTTATATTATTACAACATATGGATAAAAAGTAATAAATTTTGAGTAATTAGCATTTTATATAACAAGAAATAGTGTTATCAATTTTGAACATATTTTAATGTTATCATCACTTAGATGTTATGTTTGAAATAAAAGTCTAATTTTTTTCAAATATATTATTTATAATTTTATACTTTTTGATCATATGACTTTAAATTTCCATTTTTTATTATTATTATTAACTAAAATATGTATATATAAAATAATTATTAAAACATAGACAGCAGCATTAGATATAAATTTGTTTTAGTCATGCTTATTAAAACACAGCCTCCAAATGATGATATGTAATATTAAAATATGTTTAAAGTTTTCAATAATGTTTTGTTACAAAGATAAGGGACAATAACTTTAAAAATATTTTTTCTGCATGATAGAAACACAAGGCTGTTATATTTGTACTATATTATCTTATACACACTTTGAAAATATAGATTATGTTACTTGTTCTCAAATTATATTTGGTTAAGAAATCTATAAATAAAACTAATCTTATTAGAAAGTTTCAGTTAAAAATTTTTTTTAATACTAGCTAAAGGACAATATCAAAAAGTAATAGAATATTAAAGAATTTAACTTCAATATCCGTTTAAGAACTGTTATAAGAAATTCTCAAGAAAAAATTAAATTTCAATTTATCATAAAAGGCTATAAAACTTGGCATCATCATTGTAAATAAATAAATAACTGCTAATTTCAGGAAGCCAACTTTCATTAATTAAAAGAAATGTTTTGGTCAAGCTTACAACCTTATATTTAACAGTGTTAAAATAATATCACCAAACAATTGCATAAATAATTGGGCTATAACTCTGCTAATTTTTAAAAAATACAAAGAAATAATACAGTTCCATTTAATACAATTTTGAAATACGTTCGAATGCCAGTTCACCTGAGGATGACCTATTCCATTAGGCTGAAAACATTTTAAATAAAGTATTCTCACCGATAGAATGTGTTAAATGTTTTATTAAATACAAAGAAGTATGCTACTACAGGTAGACATTAAGAGCCATCTCTTAACTAAATTAATAATTATAATTTGAATAATTTTATCAAATTATTTAGAACCATCTGGAAGAAATGAACTGACCCAGGGTAGGGCTTGAACCCGCAACCTCCACTTGCTATGAGGTGTGCTTGCCAGTTGCACCACCTGGACCCTGAGTGAACCTTTGCTTCCAGTGTATTTAAATTTAGATATAACCTTATGCAGTTAATCACAGCACCAACTGGGGACAACTCCTATGCCCACAGCCAAAGTACTGTACATCTCCACAATGGCACTCAGCCAGCTAATGTTTAACCCAACTAGGTATACATACATACAGTAAGACCTCACTTAACACTGATTTGATATAATGCCATCTGCTCGAAACCTAAAAAAAAGCTCAAGATTTATGCCGATTTAAATTATCGCGGCATTTCATTGGTTTGTACATAATATGATTATCTATGAACACGAACCAATCAGGAAAAGTTGGTAAAAAGGCGTACTTTCTTTAAATCTATGTTTGTTTTGGAAAAAATATAACATCACGAATGCATAGGCAATATCGGCTTCACTTGGCAAGATTTAACTGATAAATGCACAAACGAAGTGTGGAAGAAGTTATGGCTGAAGGTATCCAAGAATTCTCAATGAGAAGAGTCTATTGGTGTATAGTTAGGTTGATCAAACTCAACCAAATTGATACAGCAGGACTAAGAGATATAGACGAACAGGATATTGAGGAGTTACTGCAGGTTTCTAGTGAGAGGCTTATCAACAAAGGCCTTCAAAAACTGGGAGAACAAGGAATCCATGTAGAACTGGAAAATAGTGATTCTGAAAATGAAGAACCTAAAGAATTTCTCTACAGATTTCCTTAGTAAAAGTTTGGTAACGATAACTGAAATCATTGATCAAATTGCATATGTAGCAAATGATCCAGATTTTGAAAGGAATACAAAAGTAAAATGAGGTGTTTTTGACATGATCTTCTGCTACTGACATTTGCTTAAGGAAAGAAAAAAGCAATAAATGAAACTTCACAACTTTATTGCAAAAAACAAGAATTTCAGAAAACTCAGAATGTTCATCACAAAAAATGAACTATTAATATATAAAAAATGAACTAATTAATATATTATTATACATTTCTGTGTGTTTGTGTTATTTAACATATATTATTATACCAATTAATATAAAAATAACTTAAATTTAAAGTAAAATTTTTTATTTTACTTTAATTTTAAGTTAAGTCACATGTTCCCCTATCCCTATTTACTCTGTTAAAATAACCTCATTTAACAGTGAAACAGTGTTAAAATAACCTCATTTAACACTGTTTCATTTAGCGCTTTGTCATCTAGGAACGCATCTCTACGTTAAGCTAGGTCTTACTGTATATTATAAGTATAACAAACATCTCAAAACCTGCCGGATATGTATATCACCAAACGATCACCTAAATAATCAGGCTATAACTCTGCTAATTTTTAAATAATACAAAGTAATTTACTACTCTGCTGCTTACCACTAATTAGTGCAGGGTTTCGGGATGTTTGATTAAAATAATATACCATAAAAATTACAAATTAGAACATATTCAAAATTAGTATTCTGAACAGGTTTTGTTTATGATATTATTTTACTTTCATTTTATTTGTATTATTTATTTTATTTCACATGTTATATTGCATTTGTTTCAAATTCAAAATTGTAACTATAATACTAATTTTGTTAAATATATGACTGTAAGCTGATGATAATCAGATTTTGATCAAAAACATCTCTTTTAATTAATAAAAGATGACTTCCTGAAATTAGCAGTTATTTATTTATTTAATGTCAGGTTATTTTATCTTTACAGAAACAGTCGTTTTTCTGCATAAAACTATTATGTTTTCAGCACTGTGTAAAGGAAATTGTGTATACATAATTAATAGTTTACAATCATTTTTAACTAAATATAAAAGTTATTTTGAATTANAATTTCTCTACAGATTTCCTTAGTAAAAGTTTGGTAACGATAACTGAAATCATTGATCAAATTGCATATGTAGCAAATGATCCAGATTTTGAAAGGAGTGCAGAAGCAAAACGAAGCGTTTTGGATGAGATCTCCCGTACTGACATTTGCTTAAGGAAAGAAAAAAGCAATAAATGAAACTTCACAACTTTATTGCAAAACATCAAAAATTTCAGAAAAGTCAAAACCTTCGTCACAAAAAACGAAGTTTACATTTCTGTGTGCATGTGATTATCTGTTACGACTGTTAAATTTCAAATAAAATAAAAATTAAAATAATGCATTTAAGTTTTCAATGCAATAATTAGACAAGGTTAATAATTTGAACTAAAATCAAATATTCTATTTACTGTATAACAAAACTTTTCAAAATTATTTCTTAACTAACCACATGTGTTTCCAGTGGACTCAATGCAACTGATGAAGGATATGCCTGAGCTCCTAAAAGTCCATTTGTAGGACCAGTCACAGGATTTATTTCAACTGAGGGTGGTGGAGGCACAGTTTGAAGCACAGGGCCTTCTGCATGATTACGAAGTATATTAATTGCATCATCCAGCCTTTCTTCCATCACACCTCTTGATTGTTGCTTTAATTAATAAGCACATAATTTAAATATTAATTCTTTAATTTTGTAATTAAAAAAAATAAATACTTTTATATGAAAATAAAATTTAAGAAAAAACAACTATCTTATAAACATAAATAATAATAAAAGACAAAAGGATTAAATAAAAATCATATTTTTGTTGTTTTAATTTCAAATAAAATACTCAGTTGGCTAAATTACTAAATTTAATTATTATCAAATGTTAAATAATTAAAAATTTATTAAAATTTTATTAACTATTCATTTAACAATTTTATATACATATAAGATGATCAAACAAAAGTACAATTTGTGAAAAGTTAGCAGGATAAGTTTGGCAACAACATGAACCAACTGTTCTTGTTGCACAGTTGGCACCACAAAGTCTCACAAAGTCTAACTTGCAAAACTGTCAAACTCATCACACTACTACTCGCAAGTTCTATTTTCATTTGATCATTCTATTTAAATAAATGACACTAATTATTATTATTATAATTACAGCTGAAATATACAAGACTATAAGTAATGTGTTTAGGTAATAAATCATTATTTCTAATTAATATTAATTTCAGTATATTTATTTAAAAATAAAAAATATCAATGAAACAAACTTATACAATTTAGTTACTTTTAGTTTTCATTTTAGAATTCTGAAGTTTTAACAAAACTAAATATTTTAAATAAAGGATTTAAAAGCAAACATAATAAAACTGTAGTGTAATTTTCTTCATACAATGACAATCATATTAGATGTGACTTAATTTATTTTATAGTATAAATTGTCAGTAACTTATTTTCTGATAATAAATACTCTACAGATACTGATCTGTAAATTATTTTTTTTCATCACAAAATATTGAAATAATAACTATGCTGTTCAAACATATAACAAATCATAATTGAGGACAAAATTTGTAAAGTCAAAAATATATTGGCTGAAATGTTTAATGTGAAAAAATGCAGATAAACAATACTTTGAAGAATAAACAAACTTTTTAAAATAGTGGAAAACCCATAAATTGTATAGAAACATAAGATTTTTGTACAAATAATTGTTGACTTAAATTTTGTAACTAACAATATTACTTTCAAGTCTAGTCATAGAGAAACTGAAGATATGGATAGTGAGTTGTATGAAAACTGGAAGAGGTGACTTGCATTAATTCTGGCCACATTTGAAGATTGAAGCATTTATAACACAAACAAATCTTTTTCATGCTGTGTAAGGAGTCGATTTGACCCATTTTTTATTTTGTTTGGAGATAATTTTTAGTTCATTTTTATTATTTATGTTTGGGGGCTTTTATTTTGTTAAGGATAAACATCCAATAAACTACCACACCTCCATGGACAACATTCTAAAGTGAAATGAAATTCACCTTACCAAGACAACTGCCAAGGGCAAATCGAATGCATCATCAACCCAGAAATGACATATCATAGGGAGACTTCTGAATGAAGTTAAATGAATGATCTCCCACACCAAATTGTTATAAAAACACAGAAATAATTAAAAGAAGAGCATTATGTGGGGGTAATGACACACAGAAAAAAGTTGCCAGAAATAAATCACATTGTTAACTATAATTCTGTAAACAGGGACGAGTGGGCATAACACTGTGACATCACCATTTCCAGCACTATAAAAAGAGAGATGAATGGAGAACTGACAAACTGAAGCTAAGTATTGAACAATGTTTAGAAAAAAACAAAAGACTTTAAGTTAGATCTAGCAGAAGTTTTGTAGTGATGATGTTTAGGCAAGTTAGACCTTTTTTTGTGAATCTTGTAAATAGTATATTTTTTGTATTTGTTGGATATTGTGGAGACAGTTTAAGACAAATTCTAAGTTAATTTTAGGTTTCAAGTGTCTGGAAGTTTTGTACAGTACATACTATTTGTTTTTGGTTTTGGTAAAGTATTGTTAAATTTTGTAATAAAAGAAAGAAAAAACATACTAAGTGCGGCATTATGTTTTTTTTTATTTTCACTAACACTTTCAACTTATATTCATCATCTTCAGACGAACAAGATATTTATTCCATTTATGTTAGAATATTGTGTTCTATATTTTAAATCTTGCTCACCTGAAAATAAATATAAGTTAGATAAAAGTGCTAATGAAAATAAAAAAACTGTTAACACTGAACTCAGTGTGTTTTTATTTCCTTTTATGTGATATTTGACATGAGAATTCAAACTGTATTGTGAATTTTATAACTTGTACAGTTTGTTTTTTTCTAACTTATTTCAAATTCTTACTAATAAAAAAAATTGTAAATGATTGGTCGTAGAATGATAAATTCTTTTTTTTTAATGAATTTATTATATTTTATTTATTTTGAATTTTGCTACAATAATTGAGATCAATTGCCCATATTCATTTGTTTTGCCCATTTTAAAAATCCAGGTCTGGCACTGACCTACTGTGGATTTTATTTTTAATTTATGTGACACCATACATTAGGTAATTCCAGGCTTCAAAAACATTTAGATGTTACACCATTACCAACAAAAAGTTTTACAAAAATGCCATAAGAATATGAAGGGGAGAAAAATCAAAAGAACAGTTAACAGTTTTTTTATGATAATGCTGCTGGTAAAAAGGAAAAATTCTTGGAGAATTGGAAATCTCGGTGACTATGGTAGTTTAAAAAATGTGAATATAAGTAAAATGGCTTTAACTTGGAAGTTAAATAGAAAAGCATAAATTGCATAGGCAATTTTCAAAGAATGCCTGGTGAAGTTTAATAAGAAAATCAGCATCTATCAAAGAAATGTCATCTTAATTTTGGATAATGCTCCATGTCTCATTAATCAAAGTTACATAGTGTAAAATTTAAGGTTTTACTATCAAACACAATAACCAGACTCCCAACCTTTGGATCATGACATTATTCAATGCTTCAAACTGAAAACTACAATTTTATCTTAAGGACACTCATATGCTAAATCAGACTCAAAAAGTACTTCAGAACTGGCAAAAAAAACCATTACAGAATGTGACAACATTTCATGGTTATCATCATCTTGGAATAATGTGGAAGTTCAATCAATTGTGGCACATTTTCAAGATTTAAGATAAAAATGACTCTAGACCAGTGTTTTTCAACTTTTTCTTCTAAAAATGATACTTTATAATTTTTTCTTGTGGCACACTTACTTTATCAATATAGATGTATTGTGCTTTTAGTATAACACATAAGATGCATTATAGCATTGCTCATCACTGTATTTCATAGCACCTTTGAAGTGTATCTTTAGCACCCTAGTGTACCTACTGTAAACACTGATTCTACACAGAAAAAAAAATCTTTTGAGATAACAAAAGTGGCTCAGATAGACTACAATTCCAGAGCCTCTGAATATAAAACAGTACTTAAATGTTAACCAAATGCCACGCAGGTCAAAAAAATTGGGAGGGTTGTGTACAGGACATAATTGCAATCATTTAAGGCATGAATCAGTCTTTGTATTATTAGAGGAAGGATAAGATGAAAATGCCCAAACATCACATCGCATTACCAATTTTGGCATTCATGTGCTACTGTTATCCCTCCCCTACATGGCTGCACACCCCCACTACCCACCATTTTAAATACGAACATAAACCTTCTATCCAACAAAATTTTAAATTGTGAGACATTTATAGTTTACAAGATATAATCATGACAAATCTTGCCATTTGATTGATTGCTCCAATTTTTGTAGACCTCCCTATACTGAAACGAATTTAAAGACATGTTTGGATCAAAAGGAAGTGAGAGTGACAGATGAACTCCATGGTATTTGTAGATTCCCTGACTTTCCAGGTCTGTACGGATCCTGTGTATGGCTTAAAGTTTTGTTTTTGTACATTTTAAACATTTATTTATTTATTTATTTGCTAATACAAAAAAGAATTTTTCACATTTTTTTATTATACGATTTTCATTGTTAAAAAAACATGTTTTAAACATGATCTCCATTAAGGTTCACTCTCTCCCTAAGCAACCAATTTTCAACATAACTTTATTAGGAAAAAATGCTAAATTCAAGAGCCAAAACAAAGTTTTTATTTAGCTATGTTTTCATTCTCTAAAAAAAATATCCTTAGCTGGAAAATTTCTTGAACTGCTTTAGAAAAAGTACATTAAATAGAATTTTACCAGAACAAAAATGGATGATTTAGGAAAGTTTTACTGTTTAATAAGTTCCATCATTTTTCATTTAAAGTGTGTTAAGCATTGTATGAAGAAATTAAAGAAATTAAAATAATCAATTTATTTTATACAACCAATAAAATTTTAAATGAAAATAATTGACACAGTAGATAACTCAAAACTCATTAATAATTTAGATAGATGAAAAAATTAAGTTTTTTAAAGACACAAATAAGCATAGTAATATTACAAAGGGAATGCTTTAATACAAATAATTAAATGAAGGCCATTAGTACCAAGGATAGTCTTTAATCTAGAAACTACTAAAAATCCCTAAATTACTGTTTCAGTTAAACTGTAATCACTACAAAAATTTTTCAATATGAACTTAACAAGAAAATATTGTTCCAAATACTTTTAGTATTAGTTTTCCAGGAAAATATAAACAATGCATGTGAATTAAAATTTTTTTGTCGTTAAGATCATAAAAAATTTATAAAATTTTCTTTTCAGTCCAATTACAAATTATATTTTATATATTTTAAATGAAAACATATATTATAAGGAAGTTTTTGGAAGAAAAGAAAGAAATTTGATTTAAGAAAATAAAATTTTATGCAATAATTTGCACATTAAATTTCCAATTTTACAATTTAAATCATAGTAATAATGAAACAGCTTAAAAAATTATAATTTAGTCTATATTCAGGTCAGAGCTTAAACAAATCTTTTTATATGTAAATGTTTACTAAAATCTTTTGAAAACTTTCTAACCAATGTATATTCCTCATACATTTTTAAAGAAATGGAGCATATCAAATTTACTATTTATGCAAATAATGTAACTGAAAATTT